TGTCGCACACCCCACTCGATTGGCAGCCGACAGAAAACCTGCTTGCCTACCGCGATGTTGATCCAGGCATTGAGCTCGACCTCGCTGCTTGCTCCGATGCAGATCTGATCCCGGCCAGCCAACCGCCAGCAGCGATTCAATCGGTGGAGATACTGCGACAGGAAGCCTCACCTTCGCATCCTGCAATGCCAAGCCCAGCTCCGCTCAAGCCTACCAAGCCCCATCTCAGCTCTTGCGATTTTGTTCCGCCGACCTTGCGTTCACTTTCCGATCCGACAGCATCCACTCCAGTCTCGCACAAATTAGGCTCCACCTTCGTTTCCGCGCACGACCAGCCTTGCTTCACTCCCGTGTGCGACCAGATCCTGCTGCCCGAACTGCCAACTGCTTCCCTCCGCTCCAGCAAGCAACCTTCGATCCCTGCTCTCACCGGCGACCAGAACCTGGAGTCTAGCACCCGAGCATGCTCCATTTACACGCACTCACTTCAGTCTACACACTATCCGTCCCCAACCAGTCCGATCAGATCAGCCTCAACTTCAGCTTCGGATCAAGCAGGGGCACCCATAAGACTAAATACGCCGTTGGCCTTCTGCTCTTATAATGGAAGTAGCTGCTGCAATCCCACTGATGATGCTGAGTTGCAGAAGCAATTCAGTTCTATGAACATTTCAGATTCAGCTTGTGGTTCCATTGTTAAGTTGATTCTCTGCACGAAATGTGATCCCTATTCATCAGACCTCTTCACGGTTGAAACAAAAGCTCGCAAGGTTCCTATTTTGTGTAGCAATGAAAAGTCCAACGAAGCTTCAATGGACTTCTGCAACAAGGTTTGGAATACTTGCAAAAATAAAAAAATTCAGAACTCTCTCTTTTCAGCAGCAGCTTCCGCTTCAGAGCAAATTTCTTCTTCCAAACTTACAGATCATTGGAAATCTTCAACTGAATTCTGCAAGGCATTGGGAGGGTCAGCTGATACTGAATCAATCTGCTTCAATGGCACATTTGTTTCATTTAAAAATACAATTGATCTGAGTCCTCCACAAGGTATCTGTGTTGAGAAGATAGGAAATGGATCATACTTGAGCATGGAGCCTCATCCAGATGGATCAGACCGAGTTTTCCTGTCGGATCAAGCCGGTCTGATTTGGCTTGCAAGTGTTCCAACTCAAGATTCAGGAGGAACTTTGGATTTGAATGAATCAAATATTTTCCTTGACTTGACCGATAGGGTGCATGCTGATACTGCATTTGGAGTGATGGGTCTTGCATTTCATCCAAATTTTACTAAAAATGGACATTTCTTTGTTTCATTTCATTGTGATAAAGTACATTTCTTTGTTTCACCTTCAGAGGCAACATCTGTTTTCAGGTTGGCTGAAGGTTCTAAATCTCTAATTCTACAAGCTGTTCACGAGATGTCAACGATTGCCTTACGTTGTCTGGGAGTTGCTTACAAGGACGATGTTGCTGACGTTTTTAATTATGACGGTGAAGGCCATCCTGCTCATAAGTTTCTACTTGATCCTTCTAATTATGCTTTTATAGGAAGTGATCTCATATTTGCCGGTTTGGTTGGGCTGAGGGATCCTATACGTGAAGAAGTTTACCAAGCCATTGAGGACTGCAAAGCAATTGACATTCGAATAATGAGTTTTGGAAACTTCCAAGAGGCCACTCTACAGGAGGAAAATATTGAGAACAAAGTCTTCGATCCAGGAATTTGTTTGCCACCCTACTTCCCCTCTAATTAACGATCCTCGAACGGAGTCGAGCTCTTTTTACGCAAGGGGAGAATGATGTGGGAACATTTTAGCCTATCTTATGCTTAGGGACTAGTTTATCTCCTTTAGTCTAGAGTCTTCTATTTGCTCCCTTAAATAGGTCTAATGTATGGTTTTTGGGCAGATAATGACATATTACTCTCTTTGAAGCTTAGAAAGCTTGTTCTTCTTCTTCCCTGGATTGGGAACTCTTGAAATCCTTCTTGCAGGTGTCGTCTTCCGCCGATCCACTACATCACTATGAGCATATGCTATTACTTTGTACTTGTTAGTATGCTTAAACAACTTAGTAATATGTATTCAAATATTAGCATGAAGTTGTTTCTTGTGTTCAGTAAACAATGCAAAAAAAAAAAAAAAAAAAAAAAAAAAAAAAAAAAAAAAAAAAAGAGTATGTGACTTTTGTGGCAACATCATTAATTTATGGAGTTTAGGACTTGTATCGTCAATAATTGAAAGGTGATTTACCAGAATTATGATTAATTGAGTTGTTGTTATAGGCAAATTTGACGGTAAACAAAGTACCGATTGCACAAATTATCAACAACAATGCACCTTATCTTGCAATCCTAATATCTTTACCTTGAGTAATGGAAGATGGCAAACCTTACAACCAAATGTTCTCTTTAAAGAAAAATCATGCATTATAATATATTTTGCAGCTTCATAATAGGGCATGAATGAAATTTTTGAAAATTGATCGGTAGCTACAAAGATGGAATATTGACTATGAGTTGCTCGAGGTAAGCCTGGAATAAAATTTATGCTCATCTTTTTATGGGACATAAGGAATAGGCATATGTGTATATAATCCAACAGGTTATTTGATGACCTTGCTATGTTGACAAGTGTGATGTTTTTTTTTTTGGAAAGTTAGTGTGATATTGTTTGATGATATGATATGAGCAACATTGTACTTGATGGATGGTCAATAGAATTTTGTTTTAATGAAACCAATTTTATTGTCTCGGCAGTATATCCTGCAAGCCTGCTAGACTGTTAACCAGACAATATTTATAAAAGCACACTTTGTCCCAAAGTGCTCTAAACTGTGGGTATCAAAGCATTCGTGGCATGAAACATACCTTTGATGTGAAAGGTATGCTTCTTGATGCGCTCTGGAGCATTGAAAACATAAACTTCAATTTACTAGCTTAAGCTTTGATTGTTTGGGATTGCAAAAGATTTATAAAAATAAACTGGTACTTGCTTAACTTGCTTAAAACCACCATTAAGAGGGATTTTTTTCAAGAAATTTTGAGTTGCATGTTTTAATATTCTTGTGATAATGATTTATATTGAACTTTTCATTGTAATAAACGATGACCATATGTTTAAATTTTCTATCTGATACACATTATCTGAGTTTCAAATGTTTTTATAACTTGAATTGTGGTTTAATCTCTCTTTAAATTCTTTTTGTGGATAATATTTTTTCTCATCTGTTGCGAGGAGGTAATATGATTCTCTTGGATTTTATAGCATATCATTATAACATTCATTTATTAATGTGCTATGAAGTTTTTCTTGAATGAAAGCAAAATGAAGATATTAATGCATATTTATATCCATCCTCAAAATTTTGGTGGCAACAATTGATAGAAATAGCTATCCTATGATAAAAGTGGTACCGTCACTTTTTTCATTTCATTAATATTGTTTTTAAAGCTTTAATTGACTGGCATAAATTGGATCTATTGGCTTGAAGCTTGCTACAGCCTACAAGCCGTGGTTGCATTTCAAATATTCTTATTGTGTTGGTTTTGTTGAAAGAAAACAATGAAAATTTGTTCATTGCTTTTGTTCGGCCTATTCTGGAAAATGTTTTGGTGATATAGATCAAAATCACGATGCTAGTGCAAAATTGGTAAAATTACTATTCTATTATCCATAAGAATGAACTAAAATGCTCAACTAAATAGAATGGTTTGCGGTAAAAGAAAAGCTAACTGCGCTATTTTCATACTACAATCAAACTTTCCAAGAAGTGAATTTTGTTAGCCTTACCAATACTCTCTTAAATGGTCATGAAGTTGTGCCCTCTCTTTCATCTTTTTTGATTAGTTTACTCAAATCTTTGGTATGCTCTTGTGATTTTGGTCAAACCATGGTGTAAATTTTTTCAGCTTTGCGTGGAACTAGTAGATCTGGATGTAGAAGTTTTCTTGGATGCACTTTAATTGGGAACCTTTTTTTGAATTGGCTGGCGCCTTGAAATCACCCTCGATATTATTATGGTATTGTTAATATTAGGGTTATTGCGGGCTAGAATATACGATGACATAGGGTTAGAATTTTTCAAGTCTCAGCATTGTATGGATATTCAGCACACAACAGAAGAGAAATAAAACATCAAGATTTTTACGTGGAAAATCCTAGAAAGGGAAAAACCACGGGGCTGCGCCCAGTTAAAAGAATTCCACTAGTGTTTGCTTAAGTTACAAAAAGTTGACTTGTCCTTAAAATTTAGAACGATCATATTACAATAATCAACTCCCAGATTGAAATTCAGTTGCAAACAGATATCAGAATTTTGGCATCATAAAACTGGTGTCCGTCGGTTGTCGGACAAAGTTCTGGCGTTACTTAGAAGTCAGATAGAACTCCGGCGTCAGCGTCACTTGAAAGTTGGACGAAACTCCGGTGTCACTTGGAGTTCGAACGGAACTCCGACGTCACTTGAAAGTCGGGAGGAACTCCAACATCACTTGGAGGTCGGAGAGAACTACGGCTTCACTTGAAAGCCGGGAGGAACTCTGGTGGTGGTCGAGGAGGAGCTTCTTCCTTCTCTTCTGTCCTTCTCTTCTTCTCTTTTCTTCTCTTATTGCTTGGGTCCCCTCTGAAGAGAAATGAGGGGCTATTTATAGTTTTCTGAGGATGACATTGCCAGTAAATTGGGAGTGGTTTGAATGGACGACCGATGTTGAATCCCTTGATCATGGACCGTTTATCAGGCATTTGACGGTTCTAATGATATCAGAATTAGACGATCTTGGTCTCATTGGATTCGTCTCATCGAGCCGCTCGATTCGACTATAAGCATGCCATATTTGGAAACTGTTTGGTAATCCAAATTATGGATTGAACCTTCCGAATGTGCTTTGGGTCTTTGATTTGAACTATTTTGGGCTCGGGGTGAGTTGAATTTGGTGTCGTTGGGTTCGTATTTCCGAGATGCTCAGATTGACTGTAAGTTTGAAATCCGAGTTCAGATGGTCCCAGATTTAAATTTTGAAGCTTCCAACCTGATTTGCCTTAAGATTCGTGCCTGATCAAGATAATTTTTTTAATGATATATCACTTCTATTGATCTACCATGCTGATCTATGCACATTGAATTATAGCGGAATAGACCTCCGCCTATGTGCAACGCTACCTAAGCATTTGATACAAAAGTTATTGTTAATGCAACCAATTAGTCACTGTTTACTTCCTCATGTTTTTTTTTTATATCACTTTATTGTTCCTTGATCTACCATGCTACTGTTATTAATGCAACCAATTAGTCACTCTGTTTACTTCCTCATGTTTTTTTTTTCTTATATCACTTTATTGCTCCTTGATATATCACTTCTATTGATCTACCATGCTGATCTATGCACATTGAATTATAGCGGAATAGGTCTCCGCCTATGTGCAACGCTACCTAAGCATTTGATACAAAAGTTATTGGTAATGCAACCAATTAGTCACTCTGTTTACTTCCTCATGTTTTTTTTTTTTCTGAATTTCATTTTTTTGTTGCTTATATGTCCAATGATTGCTTACAGGCAGAATCAATCCTATGCTTAGATTGCTTCAGTGATGCAAAATTTATCACGGGTCACTCAAGCTTAGATTTTGTAAGAATGGACTCCAAGAAAGATTTTACAGATGTAGATGGGGATAGTTGGACAGATCAAGAAACTTTATTGCTCCTTGAGGCTATAGAGAAATATAGTGATAACTGGAATGAAATTGCCAAGCATGTCGGTACCAAGTCAAAAGCACAATGCATTCTTCATTTTATTGCTCTTCCTATGGAGTATGGATTGCTTGAAAATATTGATGTTCCAAGAGTAGATGTTTCTACTGTTTCATCTGAGGTACAGAATAATGGATTCTCCAGTTCAACTTCTAAAAGTAATGCGGCATCTTCAGGTGCTCACTTTTTCTAAGTGGGTTCATTACAAGTTAATATCTTTCTGGAGTATCAATTGTTTCATTTATATCCCTGATTTTCTTTATTTGTTGTCAAGAACCCGATTCTGGAGATCAACTTCCCTTTCTTAGTTCTGCAAACCCTGTTATGTCCCTGGTGAGTAATCGTTCTGATCTTCACATATATGCTTACACTATTTTAATCCATATATAGCAAAGGCAAAAATAGCTCCATGCGAATGATCTAATTGCTCTTATAAGGGTAATGATGGTGTTGTGCTTGCATATGCTTCTTTAGCTTTTTTCTCAATGCGAGGGCGAGATAAAACTGCCAATTAAAAATAAGATCTCTCAAGCGTGGAAGTTGGGCGTAATTATTAACTAAGTAGATATTCTAAGTAACTCCATGTTTCATGGTCTATTAAACATAGTTTCACTTATTGGAAAACCAAGATGAAATGCTTTTTAGCAAGGTTTTGAAAATTGTAGTAGACATTGAACCGGAGGAATGAGCTTTTCAATGTTCAAAGATACAATGAAGGTTGATTGAGGGTTAAGCTGGATGACCTAATAAATATTAAAATTATTTTATTATAATTTAAATGATATAATAATAATATTATTTTCAACAATTTAATATAAAATATTTTAAATTAGGATATTTTACCATTAAATATTTTGATATGATTCTAAATCAAAGTTTTTGGGCATGATATTTTGATTATCCTTAAGAAATTCCAACACAAATAACAGTATTATTCAACTGAAAAGTTCAAAAAACATGAATCGGTGTTAAAACTTTTAAACCTTTTATTATAGCCATGTGTTCAAAATTTAAAGGCAAGAAATTGATTTATATTAGAATTTGCTTGTTCATCAAAGTCGGACCAGTTCGTTGGTTTTCTGGTTCAACTATCAATTCTTTGTTGAAGCAATTTTTGACATAGACTGAACTGACTGGAGAATCGGTTTATGGTTGAACTGAGTAGAATGGCCAATCCATTCCGATTTTTAAAATCATGCTTTCTAGTATTAGTGCCATGCAAGTTATAGTTACAACCATAACATAGCTTGAAAATTTAATTGAACCAATTTACAAAGGTCAAAAAAAAAAAAAAAAAAAACCAAACCAACTGAATTAATCTAAACTATTTGAAACTGATTCGTTCAATTTATTTCTTCATATTTTTCTAGAATTTGGATAATACTGTTTTCTTTTGGCTTGGCTAGATTTTATCTAGTGCACATAAATTTCAATTTTTAGTAAGTATTTAGTTTGTTTTTTCTGGTTCAAATTGTTATAACTTAAATAAGGCTTATTTGGCTTGATTTAATTTGGAATTACCAAACAAGGTTTAGGTTGTCCTAGGACAACCCCCGTTTTCTTAAATCGTGGACCCGCAATGGGCAAGTTTGATGCTTGTCAATTCGGCTGCAGGCTTTTTGTGTTGGTAGCACCAGCTGGAGCTGTTGCACTAGTGTCCAAGTTGCTAGTATGTCATCTTTGGTTGTTGAGCTTGTCCACAGCTGCCCTAGCTTGGAGAAGATTATTACCTTGTAGCGACTAGCTGACTGGCCTTGTACAAGCTGAATTTATTCAATTAGGTTCGGTGTGGCAGTTACCATGCCAATTGGATGTGAATGGAAAGCTTTTTCGTTTGCTGAGATCTTTCCAAGTTGGTTGAGTTAATTCTGGAATATTTCAAACTTGATTTAGTCTAATTTTTCAAACTCTATTCAAATTCCAATATGATGAACGATAAATAAATAGAAAAATAAGTGTGAAGTTCTCTCTTCACTTTCATCCTCATTGTTTCTATTTTGATATATTTCATGTAGAGATGCTTGGGTGAAAATATAACATATGAATTCATCCCAAACGCCGGAAGAAAGCTTTTAACTTTGCCTAAAAATGTTATTTTGTTATATTTGCAAGCATGTGATTGGAATTATTATCAATTGATGCAAGTAAAATGTGATGTCCCACATCGAATATCCATAACAAATTTGGGTATAATTTGAGTTTGATTTGATTGTGTTTTACACTTCTTCAATTGACTAGGGTTATTTTTGATTGATTTAACAGACTCTTGGGTAATTTTCATGTCTTTTTTTACAAGCAAAGAATTTAGATTAGTAGCCTAGTTGTAAGGTGAGGTATATAAGCACCCAATTTATTATGGATTAGCAGAAGTTTTTTTATTTGAAAAATTTCTTGACTTTCTCCCATCTCTAATCCCCTATCACAAATGAAACCTAGAGGCTTCTTTGTGACGTGTATCATCACCCCCAAAAAATAATTTCTGAGATAGTTCTCTTCTTCCATATTAATTAATGTTGGGGTTGATTTTTAGGGGAGAATTAATATATAATAGTTCTTTGGCTTTTTTTAGACTTCTCTTTGGTGGTTATGCTTTAGAGTACCACTTATGTTCTTTCTTTCATTTGTCATCTTAACTACATTAAATGCTTATTACATCCATTTATTGTTTTTTTTTCTTGCATGACCTTTTGGTATATCATAGTTCTTTCTTTTATTTGACTCTTAACAGGCCATAATGGAGAAAAAAAGATTCATATAGTGGACCCAAGTAGTGGGATGAAGGCTTGATGTTGTGTTCTTGTTATGCAATTTTCTTTGCATGCTTAGATCCCTAATTTGTCCCTTGAGGATTACCTTAATCTTGTTCTTTGCATATCCACAATTTGATCTTATTGAAAATTTGATGATAGATTCCAATATATGCCATAAATTTGGAGTATAATATGTATTTCTGAGGATAAGGGGCTTAATATTATTCAAATAACAATTGAGTATATAATATGTAGTTTTAGTAGATGATCACATATATGTTCTTAGAGTCATTCTATTATATAGAGCAATTTCTCGGGCGTGCTATGTGATAAGGAAATATCATAGAGGCTTGCAAGAGAAGCCTGTAGAATTAAAATTAGAAGGGCAATATTATATGAATCTTTGATGCGAGCAAACTAGAGAGAAAAGACAAGTTGGAGAACACCAGGACAAAATATAAATCAAACTCGATTCACTATAGCTTGCAAACAACCAAACAAACGTTCGAAGAAGCAAAAGTCAAATCAAACGAAACAAAATAATATCATAAAAACGCTATCCTCAGAACAACCGTCTAGCGGTTTCCTCACATGCAACGAGAGTAAGAAAATATAATAAAATTGTGCTTAAGCTTGCAAACCGAGGGTAGGGGTGTCAATTCGGGTCAACCCATCGGGTTCGGGTTGAACCCGACCCGACCTGCGTTTCGTGAGCGCAACAGCCGGCGACGGCAGCGCGGCAGAGGGCGACCGGCGATGGCGCGACCGGATTTTCCGGGTCGGGTCCGGGTCAGGTTTTCGGGTCGGGTCAAATATTGACAGCCCTAACCGAGGGTCCACCACTGCAAAAGGTTTCAACGTCCTACCAATCTCCTCCGGCAAATGTCTCTAAATTTCAGCCAATAAACAACTTCCAGAGCTCAAGAAGAAGGATACATGTGGAGTGAAACTTGCGTAAAGAAGAAGAGGTTAGAAGCCAAGACGAAATAGAGAAGATGAAGGGGGGGGGGTGGAACAAGCTCTCAAGCTTTTCCAAGAGAAGAAAGCCTCAGGTTTTTGTAGAGACTTTGCTCAGATTTTTAACAACCATTTCCAACTCAAAACATCTCTATTATATAGGCAAAATGAAGAAACTAAACAACCACAGCACCTCCAACCAAATCCAATCAGAATTGGGAAAATGTAAGGCCAATAGTCACCACAAAATCCCACAAGAACTGCACAAAAAAAACAGGGAACGTAGCTACGGGAAACCCAGCCAGAAGTCACGGGAAGCCCATCCAGCAAGGGACCCGAAGAGCCAGCACAGGAAACAGGGCAGAGCTTCACGGGAAAATAGCCAGGGGATAAAACCGAGAGGGAGTGACCACGGGAACAACAACAGACAGCAGAAACTGAGAAGACAAGGGGAAGGGAAGAGACACAAGCCCACTCCACAATAATGAGCTATATAGAAGTATACCTTTTTGATTTAATGAGCTAGGAAGTACATTTATTCCACTAATTATTGAGCTAAACTTCAGCTCAAACATTAATGAGTTAACACCAAGTAGAATCCAAATTTTGAGCTCAACACCAAGCAGCCAAGGCCCAACCCGTGAGCAGCGAACATCTCCAAACCAAGAATAGTAAGCAGCCCATGGACAAGAAGGAACCAATTGCAAGCAAATTCAAGGCTTACCATGCCCAAGCACTTCCTACCATGATCATTGGATGCCTTCCATCATATGATAGCTAAAAAAAACATAAAACACAACTATATATTGTTCAAAATACATTAAAACAAAATAGACTACAAAATATGATTTCATCAATCTTTGGATTAGAGGATTGGCAATAAAGAAATTAGTGAAAACCATACTGCATTTGCTAGAAATACAAATTTTTAAATAGATTGATGACAAAAGTGAGAAGTAACCTAGGTGACTTGGTATAATGGAGGGTAGTGCCCTAATAAAAAAATATATATAAAGTTGTCAAAGTATTAGTGATGGAGGATGGATAATGATTTTAATTGTTGGGCATCGAAGCACACCCTCGTCATTGTACCAAATGATGCAATGGATATAGTGGTCTTTGAGGGGGAGTGTGAAGGTGATTATTTTTATTGATGTTAAAAGATACAGGAGAATGTAAGTAATTTTATGGCTTGTCGATTTTGGGAGGTAGAAGATCAAAGGGTGGTCGAGATCTATAAGCAGAAGGTTTGGATCTAGGTTTTTTTTTTGTTGATTTATTTTTGAGGAGCTTAAGGTGAATTTAGGTTTGGATTTATAAGAGAAATGGGTATTTTTAGAAAATTAAGGTTGTTTGGCATAAGGATGTAGAGTTATTTGAGATGAGCTTGTAGATGTTTTGGTGTGGAGAGGAGGTCGGTAGCTGAGTTTTGATAGATTTTGAGCAGCGTTGGTATTTTGTGGAAAATTTGGTATAAGAATGTGAAAATATTGAGAAAAGCTTCATAACACTCAAATGAGATCTAAAGATGAAAAATACCGAAATAATCCGTACAAATAAAATAAAAATAACGGGTATAAATTTTCTCAGCAAATAGGGATCTCCAAGCTCTCCAAACTAAGAATAATTGGCTAACCATGAAGCTTTCCCATAGGAAGGAAGATAAGACTTCTTTTACTTCAATGCCTTTCATTATAGATTTCGTGCTACTAATAAGCATTATATATAAATAGGAGGAAGAATCCAAATGATAGTCAAAGTATAATAAATTCACTTTGAAACTTATTTTTAATTTAATTACTCCATTTTGATAATTTAAAGATCTTTAATTCCATTGAGTGAAGTTGTTTGAAGATGGCATAACCCTTCATAAGTCTCAATTGATTGATGTTCATGTTTATTTTGACTTGGACTTTGATGACTTGGCAAAATTAGGGAACAATTGTAATGTGGCACCATGGACCCCACTTGGACAAAATTCTAGTTCATATTACATTTTTTAAATTTGTCATTTTTAAATTACAAATGACATTTTCCTTGAGTTCAAATAAAAATATCATAAAAGTGAATAATAAAATGTAAGAGAATTAATAGCCACTAGTATCTTTTAGATCTGATAATTGTTTTGTGAACCTATTCTACACCAACTAGGAAAGAAAATAGGTAGATGGAAGGTCTCTTGGGTAGATATTGTCAAAAATATATACATAAAAAGGGAATTAACACATGAAGCAGCACTCAATTGGAATTCATAAAGCTGATCACACATAGTTGGGATAAAACTAATGATGATGATCATCTCCTCTTGAATATTTCTAGATTAAAATAATGTTACATACTTAACTCCTGTTTTTTATGTTGCTCGTATTATCAATTAACTTAAACCAAACAAATAATTCCTAACTACCCCTTAATATGGAATTTAAGCATTCATCACTTATTTTTGTGTTGCTTGATTAATGCATACTGTTCTTGGGAAAATGTAGTACAATTTGTTTGGTTCGTGTTGGTAGGGCTCATTTCAAGCTCAAGAGGATGAGACAAAAGTCAAAGTGTTTTTTTTTTCTTTTCTTCATAATGTGGCAAATTTTGTTTGACAATTTTATTGTGTTCTGCACAGTCTAAATTTCATTGATCTTCTTATTTCTATGTTTTATGACTCTTTTTAGGTTGCTTTTTTGGCTTCAGCGATTGGACCAAGGGTTGCCGCTTCCTTTGCTAGTGCAGCATTGTCAGTCATTACTAAAGAAGATTCCAGGTTAGGCCGTGGTGCGCACAAGGACTATTGCTCCTACAATTCATGCATATTTGAACTTCTGCAGTTACCATAGATATTTTAAAATGAATGTTCTTGTTGTTAGTTCGGCCAATGTCTGCGTGAGAACTTGATGTATTTGGACTTTTTTGTTGGTATGCCGACTGACCTTTAAATTTGTAGGCTGAATTCAGAGAGTGTTCGTGATATAGTTGGTTCACAGGGAGCTAGTATAAACTCAGTTAAACAAAAGGGTAATTTACTTCCATGCTTGCTTTCTTTTCCTAATCTAAATAATCTCCTTTATGACAGCTGTGGTAATTGTTATGTAGATGATAATATTGAAGATCAAGCTTCAAATTCTCTTTCTTGCGAGCATGTGAGGTATGCTGCTTTGTGTGGCCTTTCTGCTGCGGCAATGAAGACAAAACTATTTTCAGATCAGGAGGAACGTGAAGTGCAGAGGCTGGCTGCAAATATTATTAGTCACCAGGTTTATATTCTTGGAAATATTGAGCAAGTATCTGCCATTTGCTATTTTTATTTTTTGCTGAATGCTTTGGGGAAAGTATTTTAAAATGTTAGTTTATGTTGAATCTGATTATGTCATTCAATCGAATTGTACTGTTGCCACGATCCTCAACTCAGCTTTTCGTTCTCGCTGGGAGGCGCGGGGGTCCTCCCCTTGCCACCAATTTTTTTTGGTATAACGCCCCGGTGCTGTGTACCCGAGTGCCCCGACATTGTGTGCCTAAGTGCCTCGATGTTGTGTGCCTGAGTGCCCTGACACTGCATATTTCGCTTGGAGAAAAAGACACAGAGCAGAGTGCTGCAACGCTCAAGATCTAGCGTTGTGATGCTGTCAGGTAGATTGGAGACACAACATTGAGCGATGCGGCGCTCCAAACTAGCATTACAGCACTGTGAGGCTTACTGCATAGTTTTTCTTCTCGTTTTTTTTAAGGGTGGCATCCTTTGGTGGTATGTACTGTATCTCTTTATTTGTTCTTTTATAAGAACAGTATAAGCAAGGAGAGAATGAGAGAGAAGAGAGATTTATACAAAATTTCCCCTAATTTTAATAGTGGATTTATTGGTGTTGTGTGTTTTCGTGGTTTTCTCGGGTTTCAGGTTTTTCCACATTAAATCGTGATGTTTTTTTACTTTTTGTTGTATTTTTATTTTTTTGTTTGTTTCATTTTGTGATTTGCTTCCACCCCCAATAACTTGTATTAGAGCCACATTCATTAGTTAGAGGAGTGATGGTTGACAAAGCAAGATACAAGATTGAGAAGTTCAATGGACAATGGTTCAAACTTCGCATTCTGGAGGATGCAAATTGAATATTTGCTATATCAGAAGTGGTATTTACCGTTGGAAAGAATCGCCAAGAAGTCGGAAGTCGGATAGGACTATGGAGGAGTGGGAGGTTCTTGACTGGGCTGCCATACGATTGATACAACTTTCACTTTTATCATTTGTTGCGTTCAACATTGTAAATGAGAAGACTATAGTCCATCTTATGGTTGTATTGACTAAGATGTATGAAAAGCCATTGACGTTAAATAAACTATTCTTGATGAATAAATTATTCAATATGAAGATTTTGGACAACACTACAATGACAGAACATTTGAATAATCTTAACATTGTTAAGAGACAATTGTGTTTAGTTAGCATCAAGTTTGATGATGAGGTAAGAGTGTTGTTGCTATTATTTTTATTGTCAGATAGTTGAGATTAGCTTGTTACTACTGCGAGTATCTTCAAAGCTGAACTTTGAGGACATTGTGGGGTTAGTGCTTAATGAAGAGGTTTGTGGGAGGGAAAATGGAGAATCTTCAAATTCTGCTCTAAATATTGAAGCAAAAGGAAGGAGTTTACAGAGAAATTCAAGTAGAGGAAGAACGAAATCATAGAGAGAAAAGTCTACTTTAGGTAGAAGAAAAGTTGTGCTGGAGCTGTGGAAAGAAGAGTTACTTGAAGAAGGACTGTATAGTTTCAAGATGGCTAGTGGTGGAGGTCAAAACAAAAAACACTCTATTAATATATCAATAGAAGAGTTTTAGTCAAATTTTTTGATTCTTGATAGTTATGAATCTTGGATTATAGATTCAAGTGCTTCATTTCATCCTAGTCATAACAAGAAGGCATTCAAGAACTATACTCAGGATGATTTGGGTAAAGCGTATCTAGGGGACAACAAGCCCTACAACATTTTTGGACAGGGAGATGTTAAGATCAGAATGCTTGATGGGTCAATTTGGAGACTTAAGAATGTTAGGCATGTTCCTTGTTTAAAGAGGAGTTTAGTTTTTGTGAGTCAGCTTGAAAACTCAGGCCATGTGACATTATTCACATGAGATTCGTGGAGGGTGACAAGAGTGACTATGGTTATAGTTCGTAGCAGTATTAAATGCACCCTGTATGTTATCAACAAAAGATCAGATTCTATTGTAGTAGTTGATTCAGATGTTGATGGAGGTTTTTGACATCGAAGGCTTGACCATATGAGTAAGAAAGGTATGCATTTACTTCTTACTAGAGGAAATTTTTCTATTTTAAAATCTATAAATTTAGATTTTTGTGAAGACTATGTATATGACAAGCAACACATGATGCATTTTTCGAATATTGGTTCAAAGGTTAAGTCAAAGAAGTTGAAATTAGTGCATGTTGATGTATAATTTCTTGCTCCAGTTACTTTTATAAGATTTTTGTATTTCTCACCTTTATTTGTGATCACAACATAAATGTATTAGTGCACTTCTTAAAATACAAGTCAGATGTATTTGATATTTTTAAGAAGTGGAAGGTCATGGTTGAGAATGAGACAAGTTTAAAGCTCAAGAATCTCAGATTAGATAATGGTAGTGAGTATTGTGATAAATAATTCAAGGAGTATTATATTTTGAATGAGATTAGACATGAATTTACTGTTCCAAGAACACAACAAAATAGTGTTGCAGAGCGCATGAATTGAAGTATTACTCAGTATGCTAGGAGCATGAGGTTGCATGCAGGTCTACCCAAATAGTTCTAGCTGAGGCAGTAAATACTGTTATTTATTTGATCAACCGTGGTCCATCAGTTCCTCTAAATAAGGTGTTACCTGAGGAATCCTGGAGTGTCAAAGAGGTAAGTTTATCTCACCTCGAAGTTTTTGATTGTTTATCCTATGTTCATATTGATGTAGGATATAGGAGAAAGCTTGATTCAAAATCTATCAAATATATATTTATTGGATATGGCTTAGATGAGTTTAGCTATAAATTTGGGATTATTAGAATTAGAAGTTTATTTGGAATATGAATGTTAAATTCAATGAAAAGGAAATGTGCAAGGACATAAATGAAATTTCTGAAGATTCTTCCAAATATGTTGATATAGAGAACGATGATGATCAAGAAGATATAACTGATGAAGCATAGAGGGTTTCTCATACACCTGCTACTAAAGTTAGGAGATTCACCAAAATCTTAAAGATCGTACAAAGGTATTCTTTTTCTTTATACTATATATTGCTGACAAATAGTGGTGAACGAGAGTACTATGATGAGATCATTCAAGTTGATGATTCAAAGAAGTGGGAGTAAGTCATGGATGATGAGATGCATTTCACCTGAGTTGAATCAAACTTCGGCTTTGATACAACTACTAGATGACAAAAGAGAACTGCAAAATAAGTGGGTTTACAGGTTGAAAGAACTTGATAGTAGAAAGTGTAACAAGGGCATGCTTGTAGTTAAAAGATTTTTAGTAGAAGGAAGCAGTGAACTTTGTTGAAATTCTCTCAATTAGTGAAGACGACTAAAATCAGGGTTCTACTAGCATGGTAGCAGTTGATGATTTATATATAGAGCAGATGGATATAAAGATAACATTTACTCATAATGACCTTGAAGAAGAGTTGTAAATCGTGCAAGATTAGGGGTATGTGGTCACAGGTAAAGAAAATATTGTGTAGGCTCAAAAGAAGTCTATATGGGATGAAGCAGACACCAAGACAGTGGTATAGGAGATTTGATAGGTTTATATCAAATAGTGATATATGGTCATGAAGTGCCAGTTAGATCACTATTATTTTTTTCAAATATTTTGATAGCTATTATATTTTTCTGCTTTTGTATATGGTTGACATGATGATTGCAAGGTCAAATATAGAGAAAATAATGTCTGAAGGAGTTGATATCAAAGAAGATTGAAATAAAAGATCTGAGTCCAACAAAGAAAATTTTCAGTATGAGAATCAATAGGGATGGAAGGACATGTATACTGAAGTTGTTTCAAGGTGAGTATGTTAAAAAGGTGCTGCAGATATTCAATATGAGAGAGATAAATGTAATTCACACTCTCTTGGGTAGTCATTTTCAACTATTTATGAAAAATAGCTTAAATCTCAAGAGCAAATGGAGAGACTTCATTTGCTTTGGTAGTTGAAAGTTTAATGTATGTTATTATATGTATGAGATCATATATATATATATATATATATATATTTAGGCACTTGAGAGGATTATTTGACAAAGCTCTTTACTTTGGAGGTGCATGGATTACTTTACTGGAGTATGTAAATTTTGATTTTGCTGGAAATCTTGATATCTTCACCTTGGGTAAGACTACAGTGAGTTAGGTTTTCAAGTTACAAAATATTATTACGCTTTCAACCGTAGAAACTGAATACATTGCTATCACTGAGGCTAGGTAGAAGATGATATAGTTGCAAAGTTTCTTGACAGAACTTGGCAAGGAGAAAAGGGATGGAAAAGTGCATAGTGACAACACTAGTGCTATTCATCTAGCCAAGTGTTAGTTTGTGTGGAATCTGATTGTGTTGATTAATCGAGCTGTACTGTTGCCATGAACCTCAACTCAGTTTGTCATGCTCTCTAGGGGGTATGGGGGGTTCTCCCCCTACTTGAGTCGGGTGCAATTTTTTTTAGTATAACGCCCCAACGTTGTGTACTCGAGTGCACCGATATTGTGTAATTGAGTGACCTGACACCGTATAGTTTTTTTTGGAGAAAAGACAGAGCAGAGCGTTACAGCTCTCAAGATCTAGCATTGCATTGTTGTCAAGCAGATTATACGTTTGGGGGGGGGGGGCACAACCAGTAAAGAGGAGCTGTTTAGGAAGATTGATAATTGATGTAAGCAAAAATTTCGGGAGACCCTGATTTTTTGCTTAACAAAATAAAGACTCTACTGGGTAATAGAAGAGACACAAATAACACAAATAAAGACACAAATAATATCATTTTATAAAAACTATGACAACTTGGACACTTACAAACTTGACTCAAACAAGACACCCTAAACTTGCTTCACTTTGAGAAGAAGGATACAGATGGAGTGACACTTGCGGAGAGACGAAAGAGGTTAGAAGCCAAGACGAAGGTTGGAAAGAGCTCGCAAGATTTCCGGAGGGGATGAGAAGAAGAAGTGGACAAAGCTCGCAAGCTTTTCCAATGAAACTGCAGGTTTACATTTCCA